CCATGCACCACCAGGAGTGACTCCTGAGTATAGATCCAAGTTTAAATCTTGAGCACTGCCAAGTGCGGCCCCAAACCAAAAGCAAACAAAAATATGATGAATAAGATCTGCATCTAGATGCAGAAAAATATACATGCCATATTTATGTCAAAATAGTCTATGCACAGAAAATAGTTAAAACATTTTTATGATAGGTTAGCAATAATTCATTCCTTATTTAGCTTTACTGCATCATTTTTAATTTTTTTCTATCATGTAATGTTTTGTCAAAGAGTAGACATTTGAGTAACCAAAATATCAAATATTTTTTGTAAACATTTAATGAAATCTCATATCTAGCCTAATTTCAAACTTGTTCTTGATGCAGAGAAAACATATATTATCCATTTTTGCAAGATCTCATAAGCCCGCATTACTGGAAGGATACTCACAGTGTAACTCAGAAATTTTATCTTTTTCAGTTTAAAAGATATTTAAAATAAATATATATTTCAAATTTTCTAAGATTCACAGGTTTTTAAGAGAAGTTTTATCAAATAACTCAATTCAAAGAAAGATCATTAGAATTGCCTCCAGGATATAGAACTTACTTTCATTCTTTCAAAAAATGCATTGCAGTGATGCATTCTCCATTATCCTGTACCAACTTGTTCTGCTACTAGCTGAGGACAAATCTTGCCAAAGGAACTAAAAAGTGAAGTTCCTTTTAAAAGACTTTGCTTGGTTTTACATTACTTTTTTAGAGTACCAAAAGACATGAAAATAAAGAAAAGTCACAGAAAATTGCTTTTATTTGGGGAATAAATTAGGTCTTCACTGTAGTTCCAAATAGAAAATTTAATAATAAGACATCGCCATATGTTGAAATGCCAACAGACTAGAAGGTTTTCATTTAATTTGGATAATGGGGAAACTCTTTAATAAAGACCCCAGATCAGATAACTAAAGAGAAGTGTCAATGTTTTGAGAAATGCAAGGTTCCAAATGATGTTGGAATAAGAAACAGCTGTAACTGTCTAAATGTCACAATAAAGCATACATTTTCTGCCTTCAAAATGTTACAAGTTGTATGGGAATCCAGAAGAGTAAAACAAAAATCTTTCCATCACAACAAGAAACAGGGAATTTGGTGAGTTTATTTTTATGTTTAATACACAGAGTGGGTGATGTCCCTGAGTCTTGGAACTAAAAGCTCCAATTCTACCAATCTTTGGAGATGAGCATTTATGAGAAAGAAATTCAAAGACTGAGGAGAAAAGAAGTAGGATAATATCTTTGTCCCTGCAGGTAGTATTCCAGAAATGTAAAAAAGTTAAAAAAAAATAGTCCAATTCCAGGTTTCTACCATCTTTCCAATTGCTATTGAAATATACATTCCTATGATACATAGTTAAAATAAATATTAAAAACATCTAACAGTGAGTGAGAAATAAAGTGTTATGAAGCATTAACATTCAACCAGATAGGTAGGGGGCATTTAAGGGGGCTGACTAGGACTAGCAATTTGGGAGGATGCTTCAAGAGTCATTGTGAGACAAACACACACACACACACACACACACACACACACACACACACACACACACACTACTATTCAACTAGGAAAAAGGATTAATGTTTTTGATTTGCTGCAACTTTGTTGGAATTGGGAGGTGTTAACCTGAGTCAGAAGGTTAAAGATAAAAATCAAATGATCTTGCTCATACAAAGTATAAAGAAACAAACAAACAAAGGATTAGGCAATACCCAGTAGAAATAAATCCAATGAAGACAAACATGATCAATAGAAGTAGGAACTGGGAAGGCTAGGGAGGGGAGAAGTAAGTACTAGGTGAATACCGAGGGGTCTGGAAGAGAGATTGATTCAGTGCTCTACAATAAAATAATGACCTTAATAATACTGTAAATTCTGATACATCTACAACAAAAAAGGTAATAGTGTGGTAGTCAAATAGTACATGGGTAAGGTACTTGCTGTGTCAAACTAGCTCAATCCTGGCACCACATATGGTCTCCTAAGTATCTCTAGGAGTAATTACTGAGAACAAAACCAGGAGTAAATCCTGGACACTAATAGCTATGCTCCACTCTCCAAAAGTACAAGTAAAAACAAACTGTTAAAAAAAGTCACTAATATAAATTATAAAATTTGCATTAACTAGTTTGTTAAAAGCCAGTGTTCTGAGCATCAACATGCTATGAAATTGGTCAAACTTTTAAACTCATTCATATAATTCTAATCCAGTGACTCAAAATTTTTGATAGATTACCTTTATATTCTGAAATATTGCTAAAGAATTCATCTTTTATGCATTAGGTAAGTAAAGATGGACAAATAGATACAGATATACATTTATACACATATACATATATAGCACACTAGAAATACAGAGGACATGTTAAAACATGAGACAACAAAAGACTACAAAAAATTTATCCAGTGAAGCTATGTGTCAACACCCATCATATTGTCTCTAGAAAACTCGTGAGACTAAAAAAGTTTTCTTCTATAAAATTAAAAAAGCAAGCAACTAATTAGTATTATAGTGAAGATAGTTTTGATACAGATTTTTCTGAGAGAATCTGAGTCTTCCTGTTTTATATTATACTGTGAAAAATTGCTGTTTGAGCCTCAGGTCTGTGCTTTATTTTCCCCAAACAGGATCTGAGTACAATCAGTGAAGGACCTTCACAACATGTCTATAAGCACCTTTTCTCACTTTAGCTCCTAACCAATTTGCAAAACTCTTCTAAATTTGCCTCATCACTAGGAACACTCCCCTTTCAAAAGCACTAAGAGTATTCAAACCTCTTTGTCAGTGCTTATGTTGGTCAGTGCTAATCTGTCTGAAACTACTCCATTCTCCTTTTAGAAATTCTCTCTCTAATTTTCATCACTTAATCACTTAATCACTTAATCCCCGTTATTCATCGATTTATTCGAGCGGGTGCCAGTAATGTCTCCATTCATCCCGGTTTGATTTGCTGCAACTTTGTTGGAATTGGGAGGTGTTAACCTGAGTCAGAAGGTTAAAGATAAAAATCAAATGATCTTGCTCATACAAAGTATAAAGAAATTTTATAATTTTATAATTTTATAATTTTATAATTTTCATACCTCTGCTAAAATGTTGCCTATCCTAACACAGGCAAAACTGATCATTTTGCATAGAGCACTTTGTTTTCACCTCCTCTTTACTGAAGTCATTTCACTGCATTTATGCCACTGCTTCCTCGTGAGCTGCTAATATGTCTGCCTCCCCTTCTTTCATCCCACTTGGAGAAGTGAGAACCTGTCTAACAAAGAAAACTGGGCCACAATCCAAGCCTTCCTAGACAGCTGACACTCCCCCAGAAATTGGGGTGTTAAAACTATGGTTTATTCATCTTGATTCCTCATTACTAGTACTCAATATTTTTTTACACTGTCTAACTACTCTGACAATAAATTATAGCTGGTTGATGGACCTGTGGGTGAGGTTTTCTCTGTACTTCACTGAAATAAATTTTTACAATTATCATGTAATATGATACAGTGTTTCCCCATAGCTTAGAAGCTAATAGTTACATTTTAAGTCTGTGATGCACAGCTCTCTATGCTTCATATACATATTAATGATTTTAAATACTTACACTCTTATCAGTAAAAACAAGTAAGCTCTAAATATTCATTCAACTTAATAGTGAGTCTTACTATGTCTTATAACATACTGTTGCCTATAAATTGCATATGTTTATGTAATATATAGTGGCTTTATCTTTATCACTCAAAAGGAGGATTATGAATCTTATTTGTTCTGAATTGCTTGTGGAATATTACTCATTTTATGTCCTGGATCTTTATATCTATCCACAAAACTAGCTTTTAAACTTTGCAGCTTTCTATTAGCAACATGTTCTCCTGGAAACAACTAACATCTCTGTGGCCACCGGGGAGTCAAATTAGCTCACTGCCTTTATAAGATTCAGTAAAACATTTACAAGAAAATGTTTCCTGCAGATGGAATTCAAAAGGGGTTGTTTTGTAAATGATATTTATCTCCTAGAATAATCAGAAAACTGTGGAAAGTAGTGACACGGCACACTAGTCATTAGTAACAGAAGGCTTTCCACCCCTTGTACAAAATCTGAGCTATTCATTTTTGTGCAAATGCAGCTTTAAAAGGAAGGGGGAAAGAATAGGGTGGAATTATTGTTTAATTGGTTGCAAGCTAGAAACTGGGTCTCTGCTCAGCTCCTGCTGTGCTGCTACTGTGGGCCTGAAGTGTTCCTGGCTGCAGACTGACCTCCACCGGTGCCTGCTCCCTCCCTGACCTCGCAGGTTGGCCCTCCTTTTCCTCCAGGAAGACATGTGCCCTGTGTGGCATCTTGGCTCGAGAGGAGCAGTGCTTCTTCATTGAAATGCAGGTAGTGTTCCCATTAGCAAAGCTGCAGAGTGTCATTAAAGTGGGAGGAAGACAAACAACACTGGTGCTGCATACCAAGTGGCATCGCATTTAACTGAATCATTTTATTATGAATACATTCCAGCCTGCCACTGCGAGCCACTAATGTAAAATATGCTGGCAAAAATGGATCTCTGCTAATTACATTTCATGCATATTTTAGAACTTTCCACAGGGAGGCAAGAGCACGGTATTCATAAAAAGGAATTTTATAACCAGGTTAGCTTGAATTTGGAGTCAAGACGCAAACCTGTGGATAGCAAAGTAAATTCATAAGGCATTGTATCTGTTTGTTTTAGCTGGCATTTAGTGTTTTTTTTTTTAAAACTTTGTCAATACTGCTGTGACCATAGGCTAAAAATGAAGTTACTCTTCAGTTTCACATTATTGTAGAAAAAAAATATTGTGGAAATGTATTTGGTTATCAAGTTTTTTCTTCACTATGTTCCTTTCTTACATTTGTCTTTACATTTGTCTTTAACTTTAGTTCTTACTGATTAAAGAAATGTCTCTGGACATAAGGAGACGTTAGGAGTAAAGAAAAAACATCATTACCTGCTTCAAGAAGGAATTGTAAAGAACACAAGTCACTGCTTTCTTGTGACTTTTTACCCTCTGGTTGGCTTCACTTTTCATTGCCAACAATGCTAGTTGGTTATTAAATGAGATAAAAAGTCGACCATGAGCTTCATCAAAGTGGAGGAGGCATCTAAAGTTCTGACATCTAGGGAAAGAACAAGCTATTCTCTGAATGGACAGCTGGTGTTGAATATCCCAGAGTCTCAGAACCTGGATAAAAGGAGACAAAGTTATGTGAATTGTCAAGAATGATTATAGTTTTTTAGCCATAATTGTTTCTACCTCCCCCTTAACCCTACCTAGACAGACGGGTCTTTCTCCAAAGTTACTATAATTGTGCGTGCATCTGTCAGTCTATGCATTATTTATTAATTTCCCTCATCATTTAAATTTTTAAATTTTTAATTGAATCACTGTGAGCTACATTTACAAAGCTTTCATGTTTGGGTTTCAGTCATACAATGATCAAACACCCATCCCTCCATTACTGTACCAATGTCCCCAGTATCTATCCCCCCATGCCACCTCCTCTCCTTCCTCTTTGGCAATTTCCCTCTTACTCTCTCTCTCTACTTATGGGCATTCAGGTTTATAACACAAATAATGAGATGCCATCGTGTTTGATCCTTTATTTACTTTCAGTACATATCTCCCATCCTGAATGATCCCTCCAACCATCATTGACTTAGTGATCCCTTCTCTATCCGAGCTACCTTACCCCCAGCAAATAAGGCAGGATTCCAACCATGGAGAAATCTTCATTATCATTTTAAATATATCCTTAACTTTCTTAATTAAAAATTCCTCTAGGCAAGGAATTATCTTGGTCCCCAGAATATTGTTTATATTTAGATGACATTTGTGTAATGGGCCCCAAAGATTACCTAATCCCTTGAATCTTGAGAATATGAGATTCTTCCAGAAGGAAAGCAGTAAATTTTGTGTTTTATCAAGACTCTAAGTTTTTGTCTATTCATTACAACAGTAATAGAAACCAAGTAAAGTCTCCATCCTTCTTTGTCTCTCTATTTTTCTCTCTCTCCTCTTTCTCTATATTTAATATATATAAAAACTAACTAGCATATATGTATGTATAAACATTTATAAATTATAAATTAATCTATAGATATATTAGGTATTTTGGTGAAATAAGACATGACACTAAAGGAAATCCAGTTTAAATAAACAACAGGTAATAGAATCTTATTCAAACACAAATTATCAATACATAAGACAAGACCAAAATAGTAGTTATAGTGCAAAATAGATACATTCCAGTGAAGGCTCTTGATTTTCTCATCTTGTCTCTATATTTGTTTTATTGCAAGGATAGATGATCATCTGAACCATTTTTATCTTTAAAACTCACAGTGGGGTTTGGGGAAGGACATTCTAATGACAGTGAAAAGACAATCCACTGGGTAAAGCACTTTCCATAAACATGACCAACCACATTGGATCTCAGGCACCTGATATGGTCCACTGAACCCTTATTCCTGGAGTAAGCTCTGATCACTACAAGATGTGGCCCAAAAGCAAACCCCATCTTTAAATAAAAGTAAGGTAGGTCTACAGTTTTAAACGCAACATTCCCAAGAAGTTTTTTTTTTCTTCTACCTATCCCTCCAAACCTTAAGTTCTACTCTTCAGAGGTCTTTTTAAAATTTTTCTCAGCTCTTTCTTCTGTTGATATTGTGATGATTTGGGGTTTCATACAACTTGGTAGTGGTGCTCGCACAAATTCAAACTCTTCTTAATTAATGCTTTCCTTCCTCCATAATATTGGATAATAGCCATGTGTTTATATATGATAACACATATTAGTAATATATCTTTGAAAAGAAACTATTTACACTTCTTTTCTTGTATTCCTTCACATTACTTCAATCTAATTTTTTCACTCACTACTACTAAGTTTTAAATAATATACTTATGCATTGATTGCTTCATTGTAAACTAAGATAATAAGATATTTTTTTAGATGGACAGAAATTGGGTCTTGCCTGCTACATCTTTTAATTATTCAGTGACAGAGATTGAACCCATGACTACCTGCGTACAAAACATGTATCAAAGCCCATTGGGTTATTTCCCTAGTCTCAAGGTAGATGCTGTTGACTAACCAATACTTAAGATGAACACCATAGAATCTTCAAGGAATTATTTTAAACACAGTGCTCAGAATTGAGCCAATAATTTAGGTGTTTTCTAATTACTATTACAGGTTTCTTTCTTTCTTTCTTTTGTTTTTTTTTTTTTGCTTTTTGGGTCACACCTGGCAATGCACAGGGGTTTCTCCTGGCTCTTCACTCAGGAATTATTCCTGTTGGTGCTCAGGGGACCATATGGGATGCTGGGAATCGAACCCGGATCAGCTATGTGCAAGGGAAACACCCAACCCATTGTGCTATTGATCCAGCCCCAGGTGCTGTGTATTTTTTTTTTTGGTGGGGTCACAGCCAGCAATGCTCAGGGGTTACTCCTGGCTCTGCACTCAGGAATTACTCTTGGTGATTCTGGGGGATCATATAGGATGCCTGGGGATCGAACCAGCGTCGGCTGTGTGCAAGGCAAATGCCCTACTCACTGTACTATCACTCTGGCCCCAGTGCTGTGTATTCTTATGTGAAGATTTTTTTTTTCATCATTGGGAAGTCCTATTACCAACTTCTGATCAAGCAAAATGCTCTTGATCATTTTTTCATGAACAAACAATAAAGCCATGTAAGTACCATCTTACTTTGAAAAATACATTTAATAAATTAATTTATTTATTTAAATTTTTATTAGTGAGACACTATGAAATACAGTTGTAGACTTACAAATTTTTGTGCTTGGGTTTCAATTATACAATGGTCAAATACCCATTCCTCCACCAGTGCCCATTTCCCACCACCACGGATCCCAGTATCCCTCCCACTCCCCATGCCCCCCAACCCTCCCTGCCTCTGTGACAGGGCATTCCCTTTTGTTCTCTCTCTCTCCTATTTGGTGTTGTGGTTTGCAAAAGAGGCAATGAGTGGCAATCATGTTTGGTCTATAGTCTACTTTCAGTATGCTTCTCCCATCCTGGGAGGATTCTCCCAACACCCTTTATTTGGTGCTCCTTCTCTATCTGAGCTCCCTTTTCCCCTAGCATGTGTGGCTGGCCTCCAAGCCATGGAGCAAAATTCCTGGCACTAATCTCGGCCATTCTTGGGTGTTAGTCTCCTATTTTGTTACTTTATGTTCCCCAGATGAATGCAATCTTTCTATGTCTATCCCTCCCTTTCTGACTCATTTTGCTTAACATGATACTTTCCATGTAGTACCACTTGTATGTAAATTTCATGACTTCATCTTTTCTAACAGCTACATAGTACTCCATTGTGTAAAAGTACCAAAGTTTCTTTAACGAGTCATCTGTTCTCGGGCACTCAGGTTTTTTCCAGATTCTGGCTGAAAGATATATTTTAGATTATGATATTTTTCCTAGACTTTCAGTGACAAGAAATTTTGATTCCTTACTTCCTTATTGATAATTTGTCTCTAAGATATTCATTCATCTAATGACAGAGTACTATATGTTCAAGGAGTTTTTTAGTTTTTTGTAAGGCTATGGATTACCTAATAATTATAAATCTATCCTGTTCATGTCTAACGTTCATTGATTTAAAGAAGGCCTTTGATTCTGTTGAGACAGAAGTGGTCATGGAAGCCCTAGCCAATCAGGGCGTACAAACTCAATACATCAGGATCCTTCGTGAGCTCTATTGCGGATTCACTACCAAGATCTCACCATTCTACAAAGAAGTAATCATCCATATCAAGAGAGGGGTTCAGCAGGGTGATACCATTTCACCAAAACTGTTCAGTGCCACCCTCGAGAACATCATGAGACAACTGGAATGGGAAAGCATGGGAGTGAAGATAGATGGTCGGCAACTACACCACCTCCGCTTTGCTGGTGACATCGTTCTAATAACACCAAACATCAGCCAAGCGGCACAAATGCTGAACGACTTTAACCGTGAATGTGGAAAGGTCGGACTACAGCTGAATCTTATGAAGACAATGTTTATGAGAAACAGCCTTGTTCCTGACGCTCCATTCGCTCTCAACGGAACCACCATCTCCGAATGCAACAGTTATATATACCTAGGTCGAGAAATCAACATGATGAATGACCTGGCACCTGAGTTGCGCAGGAGGAAGAGAGCGGCTTGGAATGCCTTCAAGAATGTTGAAGAAATAACTAAAAGGACAAAGAACCTCCAGCTACGAGCACATCTCTTTGATTCCACTGTTCTTCCTGCATTAACATATACCTCAGAGACCTGGACCCTACGAAAACAGGATGAGAATGCTACTCGGGTCTCTCAAAGAGGAATCGAAAGAGCTATGCTTGGAATATCACGATTCACTCAAATGAGAGATAGAATCTGGAGTTCTGATCTTCGTCAATGCTCAAGAATCAGGGACGCTGTCTCATTTGCCAAGACATCAAAAATCAAATGGGCTGGACACGTAATGAGGTTTACATACAACCGCTGGACTAGAGCCATTACTGATTGGATTCCACAGGACATCAAAAGATCACGTGGACGCCCACCTACAAGATGGTCAGACTTCTTCATCAAGACCCTGAATGATCGGTTTGAGGCTCTGCATGTTCCTAGAATGAACAGATACCATTGGGCTACGCTAGCACGCAACTGGGATGAATGGAGACGTTACTGGCACCCGCTCAAGTAAATCGATGAATAACGGGGATTAAGTGATTAAGTGATTCTCCTCATTGATAAAAAGCCCAAAAAATAAGTGCAAGAATATAGAACTTCCCTAAAATCCTTGTTTTACTTGTATATGGTTATTAGCCTAATTTCAGATCTCATATAATCCACAATCAATTTTTATGAGATAGTTTCAAATATCTTGTCAAATAATTGTTTTGATGTGTTTAGTAAGTAACCTCTCATCCGTTTATGAACACTATAAAAACTTAAGCTCACCTAGTGAATCCCCACCAAATGAATACTACATTAATATAATTTATCATTGCTTTATGAAATTATAGAACTTCAGGGGTGTAGGCTTCTACTTCTATATGTGTATAAGACTCACCATCATCATACTATTAAAATGACTCCTCTTCATTGTCCTGTACAACCTCTTCTATTTCATCTCCTCTTTCCTACCAATGTAAACTAGGGTTTCCTTAGTTTCCACCA